TGTATAATAAATACACGTAAATAAATAATTACACGCGCATGAGTTTAAAATTAATATTACAACGTTATCTCCGTTGACTTTTTATTCCAATAATTATTCATTTTTATAATATAAAAAATTTCTTCTCGTATCTACTTCCGAAGAAACAAAAAAAAAAAATAATCACAAAATCCGTATTGAATTTTTTTCCTCGTACGGAATTTTTTCCGATAAATCGACAACCTTGGCCAAGCGAAAGAAACAACGAGAAGGGTTTTCCTTTATTATTTTTTTATTTTTTTTTATCAAATCGATTAGTACGAGATCGGATTAGCCTTGGTATGTTATTATATTACATTAAATCTACTTGAAGCTCATTTCTCGCGAAGGGAGAAAAATCCCAGACGAAATAGAGAGGAAGAGAGGAAGGGGGAAAGGGGAAAAAAAGTATCGGATGTTAGATAATTGCTACGAAATGTATTCGAAAGAATATAACGTTAATATGTTATTTCTTAATTGTTTAATAATTCACTTACAATTATACATAGAATTTATTCGAACGATAAAAATTCTCACATATAGAGATTTTTTAATCTTCTATAATAAAACTTACTCAATATGATCTTGCAACATATTAACATTTAATTATTCGTTAATAAATTATGTAAATATCTATAAATACCTACCTAGACGTCACAAATTTCGTTCGAAAATAATTATTATATAAAAAAAAAAAAAAAAAAAGGATAATACTAGAAAAACAAAAAAGATAAAAGAATATAGTGAGAGAAAAATAATTTCACTCGTAAAAGTATGAAGAAAATAAAGAAGCGGATTGAAGAAACTTTGCTTTCAGTGAAACCGACGTTCTCAAGCAAAGAGAGAGAGAGAGAGAGAGAGAGAGAGACAGAACAAGAGAGAGAGGCCTTTTACTCTTCTACTTTGTAGGATCTCTCTCGCGGTGGTTTTGACGAGTAGCAAGTAGGGTTTGTTCGAAACGAGCCGACTCTCTCCGCGAATGCAGCTACTCGTCCTTCTAAAAGCAACTTTGGGAACCGTCCGAAGAATCTCTCTCGTTCGAAGTTTCCATACTCTCTCTCTCTCTCTCTCTCTCTCTCTCTCTCTCTCTCTCTTTCGTTCTCTCTCGTTCTCTCTCTGAAAAGGTTCACAGGTTCTAGTGCGAAGGAACGAACAGTAATGGCTAAGTCGAACCTAGCTTTCAAGTAGCGTTCCTAACTTAATTGGTCTTGACCACTTGACCAGACTAATTAATCGCTCGATCGAATTTACCAATGAGAAATTTGGTTCCCATCATCATCACCATCATCATCATCACCATCTCTCTCTCTCTCTCTCTCTCTCTCGCTCTCTCTTTCCCTCTAGTTCTCTCATTCTCTTTTACTTACTACCATCTTAGAGCCACTTACCATCGGGCTTCAACCACCCCGGCAACATCCTTTGTTCTCGCGTGAAACGACGTACGGGGCAAAAGGGTTGGTGTGGCTGGCCCAACTACGTTAACTCTAATTTATTCCGCGTCGAATGAACCTTAATAAAAGAGAAATTTATCTCGTAATTAGATTTCTTCTAATATCCTCGATAGATTTTATAAATCGTTTAATCATATTTTTAAGGGATTTGAATTGAAAAAGAAATAAAATAAAAAAATAAAAACAAGTAACAATTTTATAGTCGATTTGTAAATTTTTATAAGGGGAATAGAAACACAAAGTTTTGTCGTAGAAACAAGAAGAGAGAGAGAGAGAGAAAATAGTAAAAGGAGGTATCAAGGGGGAATAAGGGTTTGCGCGTGTGTGTATGCGCGTTTATGTGTGTTCGGCTGGTACGAATCTGGTCATGGAGAATTTTGGGAGAATTCTGACGCGGGGGATTGGTTGCGTCGAAGTGAACTTATGAAACGACCAACCCCCGCCATAGCCAAGCGCGATATTAAATTTCTGGAATTTTGTGGTTAGGCGCGTCTACGTGCCTGCCGACGGGTCCCTGCCAATACGCGTACCTTCCTACGTTTACGACAACCCGCCGAAGCAAGAGGAATCCTATTGCGAATTTCTCTCTTTTTCTCTCTTTCTCTCTCTCTCTCTCTCTCTCTCTTTCTTTCTATCTTTTTCTATCTTATCTTAACAACTTTACAAGTTTTCTTTTATTTTATTAAAAAATATATATTAAAGATACCTACCTATCTTTAGCTTTGATGCTAGTCAAAGAGGATAGTTTATGAGTTTGTAAAAAGATTAAAGTGAAAATAAAGTAACGCAAGTCGATAGTGTTTTAATTTTCGACGTCAAGTGTCGTTAAATATTATTTCATTGGTTTTGTTGTTTTTCTTTTTCTTTTCAATCAATATAATTACAATTTCAAATTATAATTAAATAAGTTTGAAATAAGAAAATGTATAAAATAAAGTCAAAGATATTTAGTACGTAAATAATTTTTAATTTCCTTTACGAACGATCGAACTATCTATTATTTATCTGGGATTTAAATAAATATCATTCATAAAAATAATCAACAAGTACAAGAATAATTTTGTATGTTGTGTTAAACGTAATTAAAGTTTTATTCAATTCGTTTTCGTCATAATTCTTATCATATAGTCTCGTATATGAGTATAAATTAGTAAATTATATTAGATTTGTCATTTATACAATGAAAATATACAAACAAAATGAAAATAATAGCCTCTTGTTCTTAAATATCTTTCTTATTGTACAGACAAAATATACCTGTTCTCTGGTATTTGATAATTCCCTGTATAAGCAGCATAAGAGGAAGATAATGGCGATGAAGGTAATGGAAGAACAGCTGAGGGTGTATCGTACTGATATTGAACCTGTGCTGCAACCGGTTCGATCTCTAGTTTAGCTGGTTCGATCTTGATCTTTTCTGGTTGCGAGGCTTCAACCGCCGGTGATACAACTGGAGATGCTAAAGCTATTTGTAAACCAGCCGGTACGATTTGAAGTTTTTGAAGTGGTGCGTAAGCGTAGATCGGTCCGCGAAGTGGTTCGACGTTTTCCGCACGGATTTTGGCAAAATATTTCATTGCTTCGACATCTTGTCGGCTTACGTAACGAACACGTTGAAGGCGACCGTCGGGAAGTGCTATGTAATATTCACCAGTTTGTTGTGGTTGTTTCTGGTCCAGGTCATCTTCTTCGAGCTCGTTCACAGCATTAACAGGCTCGGACTGTTTTTTTTTAACAAGATTTCAAAATAAATTATATATTTTCTTAACTAAAAGAATAAAATTATATTCAATGACTTTATATCTATACGAAGACAATATAAAAATTTCAAGAAACATTCAAGAATAATACGAAATATAGAAACGCATTAACCAACACGATAACCCCCCGTAGTTTTTTGGGGTCGAGTTCGACTACTGAAATCACGGTTGAATGCATTACGGATTGTGTCACAGAGCGGGTTCGAATTTGGTACGGGCACGCGTGCTTGAGCCACGATCGAAAGTAAACGACGACTTGAATACTAATCTCGTTAGAAGAATTCTCTCCAGGAGGAAAAACACGAGTGAGGTTGGGATATCGAAGAAGAAGAAGAAGAAGAAGTAGTAGTAGTAGTGGAGGAAGAAAACAAAGAAAAAGAATAGGCACTGTCGTGAAGAAGCACCAAGGACGATTTAAATTCTACGGAAATGTTGGTTACCGTAGGCTCGTGCCAATTCACGACGTTCTCACGATCGTTCTCATTTTTTTCAACGAAACGATAAATCCAACCGCATTGCATAAATCCGACCGTATAGATCAGAGAAACCGAGTTCACGTATGGAAAATATTTTCACTTGTGTTTTACGATATTAATATAAAAAAACAAAAATTGGGAACTTACTTCAGACTCGGTAATACCAGAAACAGTAGTAGCATCGTCTAATTCAGTAGTATTTGGTACTTCTGTGGTAGTAGGTTCTTGAGGAGGAGGTCCATATTGTTGCTGAGGTGTACCATATTGTCTTTGAGGTTCGCTAGGGGATCCATATTGTTGTTGAGGTGTAGCCGGTGGTCCATATTTTCGTTGAGGTTCGTTAGGAGTACCATATTGTTGCTGAGGTTTAGCCGGTGCTCCGTATTGTTGTTGAGGTAACGCAGCCGGTGGTCCGTATTTTTGTTGAGGATTTTCTACTTGTCTTTGAGGTAAATTAAATGCCGGTCCTGCCGGTTTCCAATTGGATGGAGCATAAGGTGCAGCCGGTGCTTCTTCTTGTTGTCTTGCAAAATAATATTGTCTATTTTGTTGTTGACGATAAAACGGTGGCTCCGCTAATACCACACTCGCCAAGAGAATTATACTTGCGAATACCTATGTGTGTTTAAAGATCGATTTATTAATAAATAATATAGATGAATAATAATTGTACAATTGACAATTATGACAATGATCACTTTGACTCGAAAAATTGAAACTAATGTGATTTTATTTTATAATATATATATGTTAATAATTGTAATATCAATTATTTTTATCAACTTTTTGAATTGAAATCACTGTCATAATTAATTGACGAGAGATAACTAACTAACTACCTTCATTGTTGTTCTCGTAGGTAGTGCTGCTTGTGATTTCGAGCTGACTGATTTCTGATAGGCACCGTCGCTCGATTATATACACGATATTTCGTGCGCGTTCTGCATATTTAAAAAGATTCATGGCTAAACGAACTCGATATGTTTGTCGACCGACAAGTGACATTGGCCTCCTAAATGACCGATGAATCCTCGATCATTGTTGGCTCATCATCCGGTCGGATTTTACCTTCGTTTTTCTTTTCTCCTTTTAAACATTTCGGCTACTTAAACCCATAAACGCGGACAAAAGATCTTTTCTAATTCCTAATTTTTGCTGTTTTAGTTACCACGATGTATGTTTTAAAAAAGAGAAGGTCTTTTCGTCTTCTGTATTTTTTCTTTCATTTTTTAGCATAACTAATCACGATTTCAACAACTTCGTGTTCTCAGGATTTGGTAGCTTTTTGAAATGAAACAATTTTCTTAACCAAAAAAACCTACTCCGTGACTCTCAAGTATAAACTTTTTATTTTGTAAAAAAGAAGTTTGTGCAATTTTATCAAAATTGGATTACTGAGATTAAATCTTGAACGTGTTTTCTTGGTTTCTTTTATTTCGCGTTTCATTAGAAATTTGTAATGATCGAAATTAAAGTCACGATATTCAAATGAAATAATTAGTCATCGTCATTTCTATTAATACATATATATTTTTTTCTTCTTCTAATGTAATGATAACTCATCGATGTGTTGTCAACCGACCATGGCCCGATAATCTTCCGACGGGTCTCATATTTTTCACGTACTAAAAACGATCGGAGGCGCCTATTATGCAGTCATTACGTCGCTTTAATTTTAACGTGCTTCGTGCACACACACACACACACACACACACCTACATACACTTACATACGTATACGCACACGTACACGATATGTTCTCTCTTCGTCGATTCCATGCACGCTTTGTCTGGACGTTTCCACACGCGTGACGATGACTCCTGCTAATAAATTCACCACTGAACTCAATCTGACCAGCATCCGAGAAACAGAGAGAAAGAGAGAGAGAGAGAGAGAGAGAGAGAGAGAAATAAATAAAAAGAAAAAAAAAGAAAGATTTGATGTATTAGGGACTGTCGTTCGATAATTCTTCGAAAATTCTTAACAGAGGAACGATCTCGTGTTTTACATTAAACGTTCGTGTCATCGATTATGTTCTAAGAGAATATACATGCGTGTGTATCTGTATATGTCTGTCTGTGTAGAAGTACATGATTCGTACGAAAGGAGACTCTTAATAGATTTAATAGGAATATACCTATCGAAAGTGAAATTTGATTAAATCATTCTGACTTTGGTACGCCATGAAAAAAATATTTCTGAAGAAAAACAAAAGAACAAACAAATTATTTTAATTCTCTATATATATAATAGTTCTGCGTGACTGAAATAACGTAACAATATATTATAAAGACATTTTTACAATATCTATTTCGTATATAAATAACAATTATCCAAAATTCTGTCATATTAAATATAATAATAAAAATAGAATATCATTAAAAAAATCATTAATAAATATGTTGAAATTACAGATCAGATATACGTCATATTTATTTGTATAATCATAGAGAAAAGAAAACAATCGCGAATCATTATAATCGAATAAGATTAACGAAAATTCAAATGTTCCATCCTCCTAATAAATATCTCAACAACTTTATACATACAAAAAAACATAAGACTCAAGAACGCTCTTAAAAAAAAAAACTAAATCCCCTTTCCTCCTTCCTCCCACCACCTCAAGAATATCTGTAAAAAAAAAAAAAACCAACATAATACTAGTAGATACGAATAGCGAATGATTTATCTAAGAAAAAACCGTAGGAAAACCGTCAGGAAACGGTGGCGTGTGATGGTGCCCCACGAGTTCTGGAACGCGTCGATGTTGAGAAGCTTTCAACGAAGGATACGAAGAAGAGAGAGAGAAAGAGAAAGAGAAAGAAATAAATAAAGAAAGAAAGAAAGAAAGAAAGAGAGAGAGATGACGATGGTTGAGGGGTTAGAGTCGGAAAAGTATAAGAGGAGGAGGAGGAGAAAGAGGAGAAGGATGAGTGGGGTGGGGTGAGGTGCAGGGGGGTACAGAGGGGGGTTTCGAACGACGAGGAGGGGTGGCCCGGGCAAAGCAAATTATTCACACTCAAACGACTCCATTTCAATATCGGGCCTCGGCCCAGGGACAAAAGAAGGGCGAGGATGCCTGTCTCCCTTCTGCTCTCTCGCTTTGCACCGTATTGCCGTAGAGGCCGGCGCGAGCTATGCTTCTGTCTGCAGCCTGCAGGCTTAACTCTCCCCCTCCTAGCACCACCACCACCACCACCACCACCATCACCACCATCCCACCTCACCCCATTCACTATTTCTTTCTTTCCTTCTTTCTTTCTTTCTTTTTGGTTGTGTCTTTTTCTATCTCTCTCTATCTCGTTCTTTCTTCAACATCGTTCCCATCCCTTCCCCCCACTTCTTCTGAACCCCTACACCAACCCCCGTTGACATATTCAACGAGATACCAAAAGGGGGGAAGAAGAAGAAGAGTGTTGCGAAAAATGTCTAAGTCATTTGGTATCATCTTGATTATTCTTACTGATTTAACTATCGTTCTTATTGTTTCAGTTTTGTGCTTTTTTTTTTGTTTTTGTATTGTTTCAATTGAATTTGAGAAATATTTTTAATTGATATGTCGTTGATTATTGGATTGGATCGAAAGTTTTTGTAATGTAGAGTTAGGGTTGTTATTATTGTATTTAATGGAATATTTTTTGAATAGAAATTTGGCTGGTGAAACCCCATGAACTTATTAACTAACCGTAATATATATATATATATTGAAAAAAAGAAAATAATATATTAATAAGAAGTTAAAAAGAGTTGAAACTATTTAACTGATCGTAAGCTGGTGTTAATTAAATATAATAT